TTTGAGAATCACCCCAAAAGAGGCAGTACTGAACATTCACTATCATATACCAATTAAATAGTATTCCAACAATAATGAGGCGATTATGTTCTTATAAGAGTAGCCTTCAGCCTTCTCAAGCCAGTTTTTTCTTCAGGTTGCGTGGCTATCTTTAAAAAATTCTGCCCCCCCCCCCCGAGGCGAAATTCTGCGATTACCACTGCTATTAGGGTTCTTTCGTACTGCAGAGGCTGCGGCAATTACGGTTGCGCACTAATAATATATAATATCGACTGATTGACCGCCGTTGGCGACTGCAGTATGAAACGACTCTTACCAGGGAAGGATCCTTGGTCAAAGTGGCCATCTGGGAAGTGATGCATATGGGTAGGCAGTTCTTCACATGCTGATCTCAAATCTATTTTTATCATCTGCGCATTTTTTCTGTAAAAGGAGTTGTGAGCTGGTTTTTCTCCAAAACGGCCTTCTTTCTATCAAGGTGCGGCAAGGACCTCTCCATTGTGGCAGCGTGGTGTAGTGGTGAGTGGCGGCGATTTACGGGTGAGTGGTCAGTATACTTGGGGAAATTCGAAATTTTTTTCGAATATTCGAATATCGAATATATTCGAAAATTGAAAATTTCGAATATTCGACTATCGAATAATATTCGAAAATCGAAAATTTCGAATATTCGACTATCGAATAATATTCGAAAAATGAAAATTTCGAATATTCGACTATCGAATAATATTCGAAAATCGAAAATTTCGAATATTCGACTATCGAATAATATTCGAACACTGAAAATTTCGAATGTTCGAATATCGAATATCATTCGAATATCGAATATCATTCGACCTTCGAATATCATTCGATTTTCGAATATCATTCGAAAATATAATGTGCAAGTGATATGGTAACATGACCAAGCTCATAGTTTACAAGTACTGTAGGTCTTTGTAGTGCCCTTTTATGCGACTACTACTCTGCAGTACATGACGTATATCTCAGCGCGTTGCGCGGATTCTCTACATCTAGCCCGTGCCGTCGACAACTCCACGATAACGTATAGTATACACATTGTTGACCTGTAAAAATGCTTTACCCACAACTTTCGACTCGACACTCGTGGCAACAAGCAATCTTCCTCTCGTTGGCAATGCGATAAGCTAGACCGCTGCTGGAAATACTATACAATGACTGGTTCTACCATATCCCTTTCTCGCACTACAACAAACGACGAACTTCTTGACACAACACTATCCTTCCGGTCACTAGTGCATTATCTTGAATACGCCCTCAATTTACGTCGAGTGAAAGTAACGCTGCGATGATATCAAGAACATCTTTACGTTCACGTTCACATCTATCACCTTTTCCGAATGCGAATGAAGAACAGCGTGCACTAGACCTCAGGCTCATTACGAAAAGTCAAGTCGCAAGTCATTTTCCTAAGCTTTGGTGCTTTTTGAAAGGTACTCAAAACTTCAGAAACTACCAGGATCGGTAGTAATTTGGTCGGAACTCACAGTTACTTTGACTTAACTCTGAGTTATATCTGAGCTGACTCGCACCTTTCTTACCCCTTCAACAGTTGAATGGACCAAATCTAAAAAGCGATATATGGCAGGAGACTCCGTAACCGGTAATTTATCCCTAGTAGGAAAACATTGTCGAAATCGTTCTGCACAAGAAACAGCGCCACCAAACTCGCAGTTGTGCTTTGTGATAACTCTGAGTTTGTGGGCGCAGTCTATCGTGGAACTCAGAGATAAACCTGAGTTTGGTTAGAGAAAGAGAAATAGTGTACAAAAGAAGAGATGCATCTAAAAAGTCCTCCGGAGTACATTTTTCTCGTACTTTCAGCAGGCATGTGGGGGGGGGGGGGTGGTATCGTAACAAAATTTTGAAATCTTGTGAAGCCTTGGTCTAGGAGTTGTTCGGTGCGCAGATCAAAAATATGGTACTCATTTTTCACTTTCTCGGTCATAAAGCCGTGTTACGGTGGATCTAAACGTTGGAACTCTAAGTTTAAGTTTTAAAGTTTACTCAATGACGCTCATGAAGAACTGATAGACGCTGTTGAGAACATCAAAATCTGGCGCTGGATAGCGAAAAATCGGTAGCAGCTACATCTGTCCCAGAAATGGCGCATCAGTATTACTGTATAGACTACTGCGCCAGGACCACGAAGCATATACACTCCCCATTGAGAGTTGTAGCTTGATAGAAACTCCTACAGTGACGTGCTAGGCTTAAGGAGTTCCATCCAGGGACCAGCATGAGATCGTTTCTAGGCTTCTTGGAAACGAAGTCCCCTTTGACTGTCAGCCCTAAACGTAAAAAAACCCTCAAAAGACGAAACGTCGACTAAAAAACGTCGCAATTTTTGGCCACAAAAATGATATCCTTTTGCTTTTTTGCCCCAACCAAATCCAGCTTGCTTCCATACAATCTTCGCCGGGCTCTGGTTTCATCATTCAAATTTCGAATATTCGAATATTCGATGTTCATCGAATGATTCGAATATTCGAAGAACATCGAATGATCGAATTGATGACCATCGAATATTCGACTTTCGAATAATATTCGAAAATTGAGATTTTCGAATATTCGACTTTCGAATAATATTCGAAAGTTGAAATTTTCGAATATTCGAATATCGAATATATTCGAAAACTGAAAATTTCGAATATTCGACTTTCGAATTTTATTCGAAATCTCAGATTTTCGAATATTCGACTTTTCGAATGATTCGCATTCGAATGATTTATTCGAATAATCGAATAATCATTCGATTCGGTCCCAAGTATAGTGGTCAGGGTCCGAGTCCCGTTGTCGCCCACAGTTTTGCATTTTCTAAACTTGTTGCTAGCCTTTGTAAATACCACATATGGACAGTCTCGTAAATCTCTCTACAAGTGATCATTTTTCGAGCGCACGCTGTGGAAAGCATTTTTGATCCCAACGCTTTCTGATTGATTACCATATCTGCTCATAGTTTCGCTGTCAAAACTCTATGTATCTGTAATAGCTTTTACAACAAACTCCTCAGCAAAACAATTATTACGTTCTCCAAATATAGGATGATCACTTGTGGAGAGTCTACGATAGGCTGTTTATATGAGGCATTTTCAAAAGCAAGCGATAAAAAAAGGATAAAGGATTCGGCGTTTTCAACTCTGCGGGCATGCGCCGATATGCGTGCGAGCCTTTACATAGCCTTACAGTGAATTGCGGGGACCGGACATTACCACGTGAGTGCTTTCAGGCGCAGAATCCTTTATATTTTAAGGCAAGCAATAATTTTAGAAAAATGGAAAACTGCTGGGCGACAACAAAACTAAACCATAGTCACTCACCTGTAAAGCAGCCACTCATCACTACTGCAAGCTGCCACAGCGGAGGTTCTCGCCGTGCCGCGCCTTGATAGAAGGAAGGCCTTTTTGGAGAAAACAAAGGCTTGTAACTCCTTCTGCCGAAACGCTCCGCGGATAATAAGAACAGACTCGAGATCAGCGTTTGAAGAGCTGTCTACCCATATGCATCACTTCCCATATGGCCACTTCGACCAAAGATCCTTCCCTGTTTAGCGAAACTGCAGTAAACGAGGCTGCTATTCTAAATCCATTGTCTGTTGCTTCTTTGTAATGGAATCATAGACCGAAAAGTGTAGTGCTTAATAAGTTAAGGTTTCAGCTTTCGAAAAGCTGTCACCATGCGCAACTAGAATTTGTGATTTTGTGTTTCTCCTGAAATAAGCGATTTAGGGAAACCACTCTTGATCGCAACCTTTTGGGAGCCGCTGTGCAAAATTTGATGAACTTGGTTTATACTTTGTGTGTGCGTAATAAGCAGTCACTTGATATTCTACAAAACTCAGAAAAAGTTATAATTTGTCAGACAAAGTGTTTCATGGAGAAAGATGTTGTACCTGCCCATGGTTCCCTATCGTCTGAGAAATCAGCACAGACGAGTGTGCGCAGTTTATTGCTTCTACCCCCATCTTCCATTTTCAGTTACAGGTATCCCAACGTGAGTGTCAAAGTCGCCGCTCGAGTCGTCGTGGCCGCCTCTCTCGGGCTTTGTACCGCGATCGCGGACGTATTTACTCTGTCGTCTCCTCATTCTTTTCTCTTCTCTTTGACCATTTTTCGCATAATTTTTCAATGTTTCGCTTTTTGTCCCATAGATCGTCTTACCTAGAATTGGCACTATGACTAGCCTGCCAGTTCAGCAGTTCTTTATTCGGCTGATGGACCGATGGAGTGGCGCCTGTAATTCGCAGGATTTACAGCTATTTTGAGAGGAGATTATCTGTACCAATGCTTTCAATGTCATTTAGTTGACAAGAAACGCTTGCAGTCAAGAAGCTTTCACGCGACTTGAAGGCAGCGGCTCAGCAGATCGACGACTTTGAAGTACTTATCGTTCTCGATTTCCCTGGATGAGCTGAGTCCAAGATTGTGCTTAGCTTCTGAAAATGTTAAGAAGTTCCACTCATCTAGGCGGCAATTATATTATTGGCTCCAGCAGACAATAGCTTTACAAAGGGGCCGGCCTCCGCTGCCCGCCCAAACGGCAGCTTCTATGTCCAAAAAGCGATCCGTTATTATCTTCAAAAGCTGCAAAACACAGTTCTAGTTCATCCAGAGAAGTCAAGAACGATGATTACCCCAAAGTTGTCAATAACTGTATATTCAGGTACCAATACGGCTAAAAGGGGTAAGGAAGAAAGCTAAAATGAATATCTCTGAGAAATTAGAAGCACACAGTCAAAAATCAAAGAAAGACGAGTGAGCAGACGGCAGAGACCAAACACATATTGATTGAAGCCTGAAAAAAATCCAGGTGGCACACTCGGCGCAATGCCCGAGCGAAGTGGCCGCAAACCGATCCGCAGCGGTCTTGACACTCTCGCGGATGTCCTGTAGATGTAGAGCTTAAGCAAAATTGCTAGTTAAAGAGGACTTCGTCTATGCAATTTTGCACCAACTCAATTTTCAAATGTCAGATTGAGGCACAGAAATAAGAGAGCGAGCGCAATAACGCGCCTAAGATTTATAAAAAAATAAGTGAATAAATAATTATGCCGCTCACTCCTCCAGCGGAGGCGCACTTGAGCGGAAGGTAGCTCGGAAGCTAGGCGCTTCTTCTCTTCCTGCTTGTTCCACACCAGTACCGTTTCGGCTTGTGCTATCCATCTGATGCAATCCATATAGAGTGATCAGCGCTAGGCCTAACAACACGACAACCACTAAAAATAACTCTGTACTAACAAAAAGGAAGTTTTTGTCGTTCTTCAATGCTTGAAAAATTTTGTTTTATAGATTCTTTTCGTTTAAACATGTGCAAAATCTTTTCTTCTCAAGTGCAAAACTTACCAACTCCGCAAACTACTTTGATCTGTGAAATAGTAGACGGTTGCTTCTCGTGAAAAATTGTGGTAGTAGTTGCAGTCGTAGTAGTGTTATCTCGGCAATCGTCATAAGCGGAAGGCTGATGACATATGCAGTGATAGTTGTTTCCCAAAACATAGCACAATCCTCTATCAAAACAACGATTGCGACAATAGCTGCTATTCACGAAATGAGCCATAGTGCAGAAACAATAATCGTAACGTCGACGTGAATCTTCAACGATGGAAATCGATCAAAATTGTCTTATTGACATGGAATATACTTCTAAAAAATCACGGATAAGAACAGAACAGTGGATATCAGCAACATGAGAAAATGTTTCTGCTCATCTCGATCTTGTACCTTACTTTATGTAGATTTCACACTTTTTAGTGGTGTATGACATCGAATCGTACTTTCTAAAATCATCGAATCCTCTTCCAAACGCGCTTGATTTAAACAAAGATTTTTTTCGTAAGGTATCTTTAGAACATTTCATTTTTCATTAAAGCACGAACTCTTTTGCAAGAGCCTTAGAAATATTTATCTGATAAATTCTCTCAGCAGAATAATAGGTGGAGCCATATGACAAGTGCATCATGACTAGTGTAACTCAAGATAAGCATGAGAATAGTTTGTGATCATCGTGAAGCTTCTAAATGCAGTGTGTCAGTGGTGAGCTCTTATTGTGATAGTACTTCTTCAAGGAAGATGACGCCAATTAAAGCCGTACTATCACTTTTGATAACCTTAGTTGTCGTGATCTCGGTTTGCTTTACTTGAACAGATTTTATGTTGCGTAATAAACAAGTTATATTAGGTTGGCACGAAAGTTCTTGCGTAATTCAAACAAAATTCAATAACTTTTCAACGACTAAACCTAAATTCACAATCTTGTATGCTAAAAATATTAGAAGCCTTGCGCTTCACGATGGTAGTTTAAGCATAAGATTTTGTGAGCTGGACATCAAGAACGAAACTCTCGAATATGGAACTTCAAATTTTGCGATTTTGAGTTTGGTGCCAGAAAATCGCAGAATGCCGCTAGCTAGCCGAAAAAAATCTGTAGAATTTTCCTACACAACAAAAGTCCATATGTTACTTTGAGAGGCTTTGATCTTGCACGGTGATGCAAAAACAAAAAATTCGTAAAATATGTCATTTTGCGGAAAAAATGCCCTCATGTCCGCAGTTTTCCGGCGAGAACACTTTTTTACAATCGAAAAAGCGTCGCAAGGCCCTAAATAGGCACTATGTCTAATTTCTGGTTGCAAACTGTGTTTCTGTGGGAAAATTAGAGCGATAAGGCGATTTATCCTGTGAAATGAGAAATTTCGCAAATTTTTTGTTTTCGCATTTCCATGCGAAATCAAAGCCTGCTAAAATAACGTATGGACTTTTGCTGTGTAAATAAATTCTACAGATTTTTTTCGGCTAGCTAGCGGCCCTCTGCGATTTTCTGCCACCAAACTCAAAATCGCAAAATTTGAAGCCCCATGTCTGAGAGCTTCGTTCTCGATGGCTAGCTTATGAAATGTTGTGCTTGGACCTCCATCATAGAGCGTGAGACTTCTAATATTTTTAGCATACAAGATTGTGAATTTAGATTTAGTCTTTGAAAAGTTATTGAATATTGTTTGAATTACGCAAGAACTTTCGTGCCAACCTAATAGAATAGATCTTTAACATATAAGATCATACAAGAATGAACAAAGTAAAGGTAAAGAAGAATATGTTGAGGAAAGCAAAGGACTCGCTCGGACATTTGCAACACTCACGGACATCCATAAGATGTGCGCATTTCTTGCAGATGTTCACGGGGGACCTCCCCTTTTGGCAACATATAGTCCTCTATTCAAAAATGGATCACAAGCATCTTAGTGAAGTAGAAACGAGTTAGACAGCAAACAACTCTTTGATTGACCAATCAGACTAAAGATGTTAATAGTAGTGATACTGTATACCAGTGGCGTACCGAGGGGGGGGGGGGAAATTTTTGAAAACTACTTATATGGGTTGTAAAAATGTGCAAGTGACTTGTTTATTTTTGTAAATAAGTTGAGAAGCACTCCTAAATTTTTTTCGGAGTGCGTGGCTAACGCCACGCAGCTTCATTCGAAAAGAATTTTTGTCGCCCCCCCCCCGAGCGGAAATCCTGGGTACGCCACTGCTGTATACATACTTCGAAGTTTATTTATTTATTTATTTATCTATTTATTCATACGCTCTATGGCGTTCCTTACAAAAAGAACAAGAGAAAAAAAAATACACACACAGTAAATCGAACAACCCCAGTCAAGGTCCACCGTGCCGTTGGGTCCATACCTTTAAATTAGTTAAGAAGTATGTTTGATAGAGCTTGCATGTGACTGCTCTGGACTACAATTGTCATAAAGATGTGATCATGGAGATGGTACCCATGCCCCCATTACTGCTAGCAAAACGTCCCTGAGATAAACTATCTAACTCAGGATTGCATGGTGGATATACTCCACCGCATGAGGCTAATAGGAAGAGTCAGTTACTCGAGAATACTTAATTAATAAAAGTGTTGTAATGGAACATTGTAATCGAGAAGATCAATAGGTTGCTGCAAGTTGTGGAGGTGGTGATCCTTCATACTCGTACGCTAGCAAAGTGCTCTCGAAATACCAAAGTAAGCAAAGCGGGCTTGGTCAGTAGAGTAGCAGAAAAAAAACCTTGCCCAAAAGAATTCCGGGGAGAGACCAATGCTCCGAGAGAAAATCAACAAAATTCCGCGTTAATAACTTAACTAGAGCAAGTCAGCAAGCTTTAAAGGTTGGGAAAAGGAAGATTGTTGTTCAGGCCTGCACTAACATGGTGGCTTGATATGGGTTATAAGCCCTGGGCCATACCCTGCCGGTGTTGTCGACACCGCCAGTGCCACCCGCGTCACCGGCGCCGCGACGCCACCAGTGCCACCCGCGCCGCCGGCGCCGCCGACGTCACCAGTGTCACCCGCGCCACCCATGCCCCCAGCGCCACCGCCTTTGAGCGGTAACACTGGGAACATGACACGAGCAACACCAGCAACATCGGCAACACCGGCAACACGAGCAACACCGGCAACATCGGCAACACCAGCAACATGAGAAACACCACCGGCAACATCGGCAACATGAGCAACACCGGCAACATGGCAACACCGGCAACACGAGCAACAACGGCAACGTAGCAACATCGGCAACAAGAGAACACAGGCAACATGGGCAACACAGGCAAAGTATGGCCAAAGCCTAAGAAATGCAGAAAGAAATAGTATATGTAGAAAGACGAATCTCAGTGGCCGTGTTCGCTCGAATATGGCAAAACAGATGTCGGACTACCATCGCACGTATGAGAATGTTGATGTTGATGCTGATACAGTTGATGCCGCATAAGGAAATAGAGATTCAGTTGCAGTCCAGACGGTAGATGGAGCATAAAATATCAGCCATAATTCATACAGCACAAAATAGTCACCAGACAAGAAAGCGCTTATGAGCCAGATCTGAAAAAGAAACATTAGAACGAACTCAAAACAGAGAAAAGACAAAGGTTATAAAAAAAGGCTATATAAAAGAAAACCACATCGTAGACTTCTTAGTTCAGACAGGCTATGGCTATGGCTTCTACCTGAATCAAATACTTACAAAAGAAAACGAAAACATCAGCACAAGTACGAATCACTCTCAACAGATTTGGGAATTTCTGACTTTTCTAGAGCTTTCTTGAAAGCCCGACTAGTATTAGCCGACTGCAACTTAGCGGGCAGTCGTCTAAACCAGCGAGCACATCGATAGAATAAAAAATTGAAAAGGCCAGAATAGCAGTGTTTATTCAGTCTAGGGTAGTGAAGATTGAAGCCTCCTACCCTGGAACTTACAGGTCTGAAGACCCAAAAGCTGCTGGCAGGAAGGTCAATCTCTTTCCGCAGTATCGCAAAACAAAAAACTAAGTCAGCAATAATTCTTCTACGTTTCAGTGATTGCAAACCAAAGAGTCTCAAGCGCTCATTGTAATCTGGTTTGGACCTATCTTGCATATTAGACATGCGAAAAAAGACCATCCGTGTAAAAACATGTAAAACTCTTTCAATCTTAACGATATCTTTCTTTGTGGAGGGGTTCCATACTTGAGAACAATATTCAAGATGTGGTAGCACATAAGCCTTATATAGTCTGGTCAAAACAACTGGATTAGAGGAGTGAATAACACGAAAGATTGAAAAAAGAATAGAATATGCTTTTTTGACAGCAGAATCAATGTTTGGAAAAATTTAATTGAGGATCAACAAAGACACCTAAGTCTTTGACCAGTGGACAAGCTACCAAATCTATTCCATTGATTTCATATTTGTCTGAATTAATTTTGCCCAGATGCAAAAATGAGCATTTGTTCGGATTGACAGAAAGGCCGTTAGAAGAAGCCCACGTATTTAGTTTATTTAGGGATTGTTGCATCGATGTATGCACATCAAGGAAATTATATTCATTGTAAGATGCATACAGTTTGATATCGTCCGCATAGATCTGGACATCAACTCCGTTCAAGTCAATTAGAGCGGGTAGTTCAAAGGTGAAAATCAAAAAGAGAAGCGGAGAAAGCACACCTCCTTGAGGAACTCCACTAGTGCAACGGTACTCATTGGAAAACGACTGTCCAACTTTGATGGTCATATATCGGTCTTGAAGGTAAGAGCGAAACCAGTTCAGAAGATTGCCAGAAATGCCAAACTTCTGGAGTTTCATTATCAAGACATTATGAGGAATCTTGTCAAAGGCCTTTGAAAGATCAACATATATTATATCAACTGATTTTCCAGTGTTAAGAGCTTTTCTCCAGTCAAAAACGCTTTTAACAAGATTAGTAGTAGTAGATCTTTTAGAAACGAAGCCATGTAATTGAGGTGGAATTCCATAACATTTCTTGATCCAAGAAAGCAGCTTTTTCCTTATAATTTTTTCCATCACTTTGACTGGAGTTGAAGTTAGACTTATAGGACGAAAATCAGACACTTTAACGGCAGTACTAATTTTTGGGATAGGCACAACCACTGATTTTTTCCATATAATTGGCACTTCCCCGAAATACATGGAGAGATTGAACAAGTCCGAAAGGGGTTTGGAAAATACATCCGCACATTTTTTATAGACTATAGGCGGTATACCATCGTAGGGTTCGGTACAAGAAGGATGCAAAAGTTTCAAAGCAATGCGAACATCAGATTCATGGAAGTAGACATTATCACAAGTCTGCTGAGGAGAGGTGTAATTCAGCGGACAGCATACATTATAACCATTTGCGAAAACACTAGCAAAATACTTCCCCAAAGCCTCTGCTCTATCAACATCATTGACACATTCTTTACCAAACTCATCAACAACATTGGAAAAGCCTTTGGTCTGCAGTTTGCTTCGTATGTATCCGAAAAATCTCCTAGAATTTGCATAAGAAGACAACCGTCTTTCATAATTGGCCAAAAATTTTTTAAGATGAAAATCAAGATCAAGACAGACTTTTTTGTATAAGGCATTAGTCAAAGGACGCATTGAAGCATTAAACAAATTTTGCTTTTGATCTAGAAGAGCACAGATGTGCTTGGGGTAATGAAAATTTGATGGACTGTTGATGGTTTGCATACATCCAAATTTGCCAAGTCCTTCGTAAACTTTGGTACAGAACCTATAATAGGCGTCGTCAAGTATGATCTACAAACAAAGAAGTCCAATCAAAAGTATAGAAATAATCGTTTAATCCAGGATAATCAAATTTGGGAAAGTCAGGTATAGGATATATCGTCTTAGCGGTGTAGCCAGCTTTTACATGAAATTCAATGATGTTGTGATCAGAAGAAGCAAGAGGGGGGAGTATTTTGACTTTGTTTACATTGTTTTTAGTAGAGAAAATCAAATCCAGAATATTGCTACCATGAGTAGGTTCGAGCACATACTGCTTGAACCCACAATCCAGAAAAAACTCCATCAAGTTTTTTGAATTTTGGTCTATCGAGATGAAATCAATCCAGTTGACATGAAGGTTGAAATCTCCCAAAATAATCATATCTGCAGTTTGTGAGGAGGTGAGATCAAGTAAAACATTCTTGAGCTCATCATCTTCATATCTTTTACAACAAGGTGGACGATATATTGTTATGTTATCGATGTTATCGATTACACCAATTTGAGGTGACTAGTAACTAAAAAGAAAAGAAAATGCTAAAAACACCGTGGAAACACTTACCTGAAGGCTTGTTTCTCCCACGAGTCCAGGATGGGGACGCTAAAGGTGAACTGTGTGTGCAATGACACACATGATCATATGAAATGAAGCGACTGTATATGTTCTAAATCAGCTTTAAGCGCTGATTCCAAATATGCCATTCCTAGCTGCCGCGCACCACTCCGAAGCCAGTGTGGCCTTTTTTCTGCGCATGTCATACTACTGAACGTGGGAATACTGTCTGTTGTAAATCTGCGAGAAAAAGGTGCTGGGATATCGAAATAACACAAATCCAATCTTTTCTCACTGAAAAAAAAGAAAACTCAAGTGTGATAGTATTTAGGTGATGTTGCCGTGATGCCTGTGAGCCGATGAATATGCCAATTTCGCGCAGGAAAATATCCATTACTCGCACCGAAATGCTGCTCGGCAGCTAAGAGTAGCATATTTGAAAAAGCGTTTGAAATTGATTCAGAATATATATATATATACATGTATATACCTTGCCAAAGGGCCGAGCTAAGTTAGGCTACATTCCTTGTGAGTAGATTGAACACTACTTCTTGCCAGCATCCTTGAGAGATCGCAAGTTCGGTCTGGCTTACTCGATCCTCTTCTGAGTTCTGTACAGAAGTTAGAGAAGGAAGTCGGATCAGCGCCGCTTCTTCGACTTATTGTTAGTTTTTTTCTTTTCTATCCTTAATCGTTAAAGTATCAGAGTGCAATGAGCCAGCTATTCGCGGGAGTTTTAAAGACAGAAGTGTGTTGCTCTACTTCGTTTTCATATTTAGAGGTGCACTGTTGTGAGTTGGGTTGCGTGGTGGTTTCTAGAAAATTAACTTGTTCTTCGCTTGGAATGATTGAATATTATATTATACTAAAGAATTACGCACATTTTAGAAACACAAAATAAGCAAGTGGAACGCATGACTCTGCTGCCCACCTAATATAAATTCTGACTGCGAAAAATCAGCTACAATGATGACGGTACCTCTAACATTACAGTCAAGATAACTAAACGTCTACAGTATAATCTTCAAAACTCACTTTGTATAATATATATTCCTTGTTTTCATATATCTTCTATCCAGATTTTTCGCACGACGAACTATTGTAGAGAAGGGGAAGTCGTAAACTTCCAGTGACATCTTGATGGCTCTCTACTATGCGCGGATTGCGGTTATAAGAGCGAAGGAGTTTTGAAAAATTGAAAAAGTTTGCTTAGAAAAATTTAAACGTTGGAAAAAATCTAAAACATTCATTGTAGGATGCGTTTTAGATCCATTCCTTAGTGATTGTGTTGATCAGAAATCTCCGTCAAAAGTTATGATGTTTGAGGAAAACGCCAAAGATTGAAATCGCCAATTTGTGTTGCTTTCTCAAATCTGTAGGTTTTCGTGGAGCTTTTTGTTCGTGACAGGCTTTGCACAGTTGGGAAATATAGATAAGAGATATTATTTCAACAACTGTTTCAGATTTTTTTGCAACAAATTTTCTGGTGAACTTGTTTTTAATCGGAACTTGAATTCCTTCTTCCACCCTAATTGCACGAACGTTTGGTAAAAAGAAGTGAAGCTGAAAGCTGCCATTGAAGAGTACATGATTTCTTTTATCGATGAAGTCAGTATCATAGCAAATCTTCGATACGGGAAAAGGTCTAACTCTTTTTCAGCCAGAGTTAGATACAAGTAAGTTCTGGTGTAATGGTTGAAGCGATGGTCTTCAAAATAACACAGTTTAAGATTCGACGCCTCCGTGTTATTTATTCTAACTTTACCTCCATAGACATTTTCAAATACGTTCGGCATCGGTTTAAAAGCATATTGATATTTCTGGATTCCAACAGAATTACCTTATGTGATTGTTCCTTATATCATTGTAGTTCAAATCGCGATTACATGGCAAAGTGATTAAAGCACAAAAGATGCTCGCAGCCCGTCTAGAGTCTAGAAAACAAGTCGTTGCAGTTGACTCTACCGCTAAACCAGCAAGCGCAAAAAATATGTGCTAGTGTACTAGGGTTTGAATTAACCAGATTCGTTTATTTTTTCTATTCCCATTTGTACGCTGAGGGCGTGTCATAAAAACAAGACAAAATGAGAATTTGGTAATAATGTAATGAACAAGGAATGTGGATAATACCAAACATCATCAAATCAGTTCGAGTCCAGTCTTAATTGAACTAGTTAAGTTACCCTGATCGCAATCTTGGAAGTCAACTTGCGGCTATATAGCAAAATAACTTAACACTTCAACAATGCAGAGTGATTCTTCAAACACGGTGTTGCAAGAAGAAAATGCTCTTCCCTCTTGCTTGGTCCACCTTACTACTTCGCCATGTGGTGGACATCTGCTGCCATAAATTCAGAGTGACCAGTGCCAGGCCCAAGAACACAACAGCCACTGAAAATAACTTTACTCTTATAGATAGCTGTTGTTCTCAAATGCTTGTAAATTTGCTTCAAAGGTCTATTTTTGCATTGTAAAACTTACCGATTCCGCAAAGTATTTTGGTTTGTGTAGACAGTTCAAATGGACGAATAGTTATGGTAGTAGTCGCAGTCGTGGTGATGTTATCATCTCGGCAATCATCATAAGCGGAAGGTTGACGGCACAGACAATGGTTCTCGTTTTCCAGAACATAACACAATCCTCTGTCAAAACAACGATCGCGGCAATAGCTGCTATTTAGCAATTGATCCATAGAGCACAGGCTACTCGTTACGTCGCCATGAATCTTCAATGATGAAAATCGATGATTGTCTCAATCGACTTAGATAGAATAGTTCATAAATAGTCGCAGACAGGAACAAACCAATGGACATCGGCAAAATGAAACTAGCGCAAGGAAACTGACATTATGCAATTCATTATGTAACCGAGAGCACAGGCTACTTTTTGCGGCAAATCGCTCTTTTGTCGATTTATCGATTGCTTACGTATAATACTTTTGAAAAAAATGAAAGCTTGTCGTACTTAAGCCAAGCATTCTCCCACTGTCATGTAAACGAGAACGGTAAAGCTCATTGTGCGTATGCTGGCGGTGCAGTGCAGTAACTGACGACCCCAAAAGTACCGCATCCTTAGTGAGCCAGTGATGAGCCGGTTCAGCCCGGGCCACTGGTCTTTGGAGATGATGCTGGGAAGCTTGATAAGCTTTCATCTTCTTAGAATTACGTAAGTAATCAATGAATCAACAAAAGGATCCAGCAAATTTTCGCAAAAAGTAGCCTATATTCTTCGCCGGTAGCTGGGACGTATGTGTGCAAAGTTCAAAAGACTACTCGTTGAAACACCAAAGATTCTATTCCGAATTTAGGAACAAAGCAGTCGCAAACTTTGAGTTTTGAGTATAGAGAATGGTACAGGTTAACACATATTATACGTATACTCACAATTAGATAATGCAACGCATTATGTTTAAAGCAGATCCAGATAGTTCTCTGCATAACCATGATTATCACGTAGCTTCTAGATGCTAGTGTGTCGTTGGTAAGTTGTACTGTGGCAAAAGCGATAACGCTGATGGATGCCCGAATCCTCGCATTGTTAGAACCTAAGCACTGCCGTAATTCGTGTTAGCTCCACTTGATCGACTTTACTTTATTTTGATTAAGTTGAAAAATATTATTTTGTTTGAGTTGAGTGAAATCAAGCAAATTTACGAATTCACCAAATTTACGAGTAATGTGCGAGGAGTTCTTCTGTAGTCGACCGCTCAAACAAATATTAGGTTGTTGCAAAAATAATGTCCGTTTTTCTAGGCCTATATTTCAGACAACTTTTTTTCCATCAAACTTTCCCTTTCGATATAGAATTTGCATATCGTTCGAAAGCACTCTTCATGTACTTTCTAACGATGGTGGAAATAGGCTGCTATCCTCATCTGTGAGAATTTCACCAGCACCTCCCATAACTGCACTCAAAATCGAAATTTCGATGCTCGAGTTTCCGTGGCCACAATTCAGGCTCAAATGAACGAATTCTTCTGAAAACATAGCATTTCTTGGATGAAGATTGTTTACCTAATGCGTGCTTAAGCGGATTTTTGGAGATATCTGGACTGAGAAATGGACGCGTCGAAAGAGTTACTCACTGCTGGCATTCTATAGATCAGAATTTCTCATAATTAAGGCAATCGCCACAGCTTCGCCCATTTTTGTAAGCTTGAGATTAGCACACCTCAACTACAATATTTGAAGAGAAACTCAGCTATTCACTGCGCGAAGAATTTAAAATTTTTACAATTTGACGCTTACAAGCCCACAACAAGTAGGCTTTAAAAAGTGAACTTCTTTGAATTTTTGTATTTTCTTTTCGCAGAACTCTTTCGTCAGAGTCTTTTCTATAACCTCATAAACTCTTGGTCTGCTGCTACAAATTAAGCTGATTGCCAGCCATACGAACAAAACTTGAAGAGAGTTGTAAGCTCTTGAAGAAGAAGTTTTCAAGAGAAAAACTTTTGGTTTTTTGACGCGTGGTTTTCTTCCCAACGGCGATATCAGTATGAGCAGGCGCGCGCTAAATTAAGAAAGGTTTGCTGTTTTTGATGGTCTTGACTGCATTCAAAAACGTGAAGACTGAAAGAAGTTATAATCTTCCAAGGTGAAAATTTGCAAAAAGGACATTATTTTTGCAACAACCAAATAAACTGGAAAGGAAACAAGGCAACTCTATCATGCTGCGCATCCCTGACAGAATCGTGCGGCACAATTTCATCAGTCTTTCATTTCGCAAGGCACACGAAACTGCTGAGCCGCTCGCATTGAAAAACGAACAACGTGCAATTCGTAATCGGTAAATTAGGTAATGAAATATGATTACTATTTTGGTGCGAGCTCATTCACGGATAGATAATATGGGAAAGCAATCTTTAAAAATATTTAGAATAAAATAGAAATAAACTAGAAAATAGATAATAAAATAGAAAAGAGTAACGCTAAAAACACTTTTTTCATGGAGTATCATAGATTATAGACGAGTAAAAACGTAACGACGCAGTCTGTGCAGCAATTACTAGTCAGACGGAATGTCATGCTAAGGGACGAATAAAAAACAAAAGAGAGAACCAAGCAAGTGAATGAGCAAGAATCCAAAGAAGGGACAAGCAAAAGTTGCCAAATGCCTAGTATGTGCCCACAAAGGTAGCGCAAGCGTTTTGCGAAGAAACCGCTAAACACATTTACAGAAGGTGAGCGTGGCCTTAACGTTGCCTTTGCCTAATTTGGTTCGAATAGTGTAGAGCAAAAAGTAGTACTTATCTTGCCGAAGACTGTCTATCTTGCCGAAACAAGTCTTGAAGCACATTTTCCATCGATAGCTAGCTGTTCGCCGAACCAAGCCCATTGTTCTCTCTAGTCAAGAAGGGAGGTGTTGTGCCACTGGCTAGCGCCCTCGAAGTTATATCAGGCTGGCCACAAAAAGGGTGTTCCGCACTTCCGCTTAACTTCCGCTTCCGGCAGGTGTCCTACATGCGACCTTAGCGAATGAAAGAACGTAGCTATAGCTCAAAATAACATACATAAGCTAGCACCTGATGCAGGGCATTGCTTCTAAACAAGACTTGAAGAAATTTAGAAGGATCGATATGAGAAAAACCTCGCAGGATATACAGAGTTCTGCAGATCCCGACAGTCGGTGAGTTTGCGGTATCGCTTGCGCATCAAGTTTTCCCAGTTTTCTCTCACCTTTCCAACGTTTTCTTGCTATTAAGTAGCTTCAATTAGCTAAAGCGATTCTGACAAGTATGGGTTTTTTAACTGGCTTGAAGCTCTTGAAGACTGTGTTGATCAAAACGCTGATTTATGGCAGCGTCCAGGCAAGATCCATCCACCCAGGTTAGCACATAGTTGCAAAGAGGTTCCCATGAGTGACCGATCTGCGTTGGTCCAATCCTTTGACGTGCCCTCTAAAAGGAGATACGGGCCTGTGATACGTATCACAAGCCGCCCCTTCGTATCACAAACCACCCCTGAGGACGAGTGCTAAGGTGTGCGGTTGCATTGCAGTTGCATTGCAGTTGCACTGCACACTGCAATGCAACTGCATCCGCGCAGTTGCAGCTCCTACCGCTGGCATGACTGAGGACGAGCAATTGGAAACTCGTCCGCTCCTTGAAGAGAGGGTCCCCAAGAACCGGGTTTTTTTGGGAGTTTTGAACAATTTGGACTTTACAGCTGTAATCAGAGCCACGGAAAGGCCACAGAATGACGGAAACATGAGAGGCGAAATTTTGCCCGGACGCTGCCTTTAATATTGCGTCCTAAGCTTGCCGTAAAGTTTATTGAAGACTCCAAGACTTGTCCTCTGATTTTGAAACTGAGGAATACCAATGTTAGAATGTAATCACTTGTAAAGTGATGCCTGTTTCTAAAGTTTTACTTCTATGCAACATAACCCTTTGTAGAAATGATTATCGAGTGCAATAAATTATGCTATAACCTACAAATACTTGGCATATGAATACTTAGAAGTCATTGCGGCAACAACGAGAAAGAATTATTTCCCAAATATTGTCTTATAGGAACCTCTAATTTGAAACCACAACTCGATCTGGGTTTTAGTGGATTGGATAAGCGCTGCTCGCTGTATAGTCACTGGGCAGCTAAGCAGTACTACTAAAGTGGACTTTTAGAACTCTGAAAGGACCCACTCATTTTGCTCTCTTTGAAGTGGCAGAAAATCCGAACTTTTGCTTTTGTTCACTGCTAATCGAGGAAATTTTCGTAAATAGTGTACGTTCTAGGCCTACCGTTACTATATAGAGATCGCTTATCTTTTTAGGTGAACACCGAGAGGTTGATTTTATACTAAATATTTGAGTTCTAAACTTTCAAAATCTACTACAGTGCTGACCAAAACTATAGATCCACCTAGAGTTTCTGTCCACCAAAGTAATTCTAGGCTCGGAAAGTCTTTTGTGCATATATGTACATAGTCAAGAGTCAGAACAGTCGCTTTAGTTCAGCTGTGTGATACCTTTATAGAAAACGCTTATCTGCTTTTTTTTAACTTAAAAGTACCTTCACGCGCATTTTATTCTGGAGAGCGTATTTTTATAGGTGATTTCGCAGTTTCAACTGGTTTGGAAGCGATAGGGCTCCATCTATCATATAGATGCTGAGCGAAGTGAGCACTAGAAAAAAAATCCGAGTTTTCGTATTTGAAGGCATCTCACATAGACCTAACAGCATGCCTGCGATCACATTTATGCCTTCAAAATTGGTTTACGCTATATTTTTAAGCTCAAAATAATGTATAAGCATTGCGTACCTAAAAAAGTTTGTACACTAAACTCACGATTGTTGCGAAGTCGCGTTTCGCTTCGTTTCAAAGCATAAGTCTTGCAGTTCAATGATAATGTTCGGTAATACCAAAAAACTCATCAAGTGGTCCCTTTCCTGATTTCCTGCCACTACTTAGCTGCTAAATAGTGAAAACACACTGTATTGCATGTTGCCTTGTGAATCACATGAGCCCTATGGTCAGAACCAGAAATAACTTTAAGACTTGTTGCAAATCAGTTTTTGCAGAATGAACTCCTCAGTTAGCATGCATGCTAGGGTCTACAGAAATCTGCAACCAACTGGATACGGACTCCCATACATAAAACAATGTCATTGCTCCACTTCACGCTCATGGGAACATTGCAGAAAGAGTTTGAAGGCATAAATTTGAGTGCAGGCCTGCTGTTAGGTTTATGTCGGGTGCGCTTCAAATACTAAAGCTCGAATTTTTTTTCTAGTGCTCACTTCGCTTAGCGTCTGTATGATAGGTGGAGTCCTATCGCTTCCAAACCAGTAGAAAAAACTGCGGAATCACCTATAAAAATGCGGTCTCGAGAATAAAATGCGCGTGAAAGCATTTTTTAGTTGAAAAGCAGATAAGCGTTTCTTATGAAGGTTCACACAGCTAAACTAAAGCTACTGTTCTGACTCTTGACTATGTACATATATGCACAAAAGACTTTGGGAGCCTAGAATTACTTTGATGGAAGAGACTCTAGGTGGATCTATAATTTTGGCCAGCCTTCAAGCCTGCTTTTTTCAAAAATTTTGATTTTTTCCTGGATAATTGAGCGAAAGCGGGATCCGTTCTGATTACTGATGGTAAGCCTGTTAAGCACACTGCTGTACCAAATTTCAGATCAATTCGTTGAGAAGCAGATGAGTTACGGCAGTCTTAACACATTCACGAGAGGGCCAATTTTTCGATGAGTGCCATTTCGGACCAGAGCATATTCGCAAAAATGAGTTTACGTAATATTTTCAGGTCACTGTTGGGTCCGGTGTTTTGAAGTATTATCTTTTGAAATACTTCAGGTGGTGTATACGGAAGTTTACTCGGTTCGCCTAAAAAATGTCACGATGAACTAGAAAATCAAAAACTTCAGAAAGCAGACGACCCATCGGTGGGTCGTATTGTCGTGAATGTGTTAAAGTAGATCTATAGTTTTGGCCAGCACTGTATAAGCCCTTCGTAGCACAAGGCCAAGCAAACATCACACACGTTTCAAAAGTTATGGATGAACAAAGCTTTGTGCAAACGAGAAATTCTTATTTGGAAAGAAAAAGAACACTCGAATGACTTAAGAAATATTCTGAAAATGTGTTTTTCTCGAAAATCTTCAGCTCAAGAATTAAAATTGTGGAACTTCTAGAAAACTGTCACCTACTTCCTTGCACTTGCTTGGCAGAATATGAAAGCGAAAGGGGATAGTGAATTTTCTGATGGGATCCTATGGCTCTTTACTAGCAAGTCACAGATGTAAGATCGGAAGAAGTTTTGATGATTTTGAGCATGTCTGTCAAAAATGCAAGTGTCGTAACGAAATCGGAAGCAACTATTTCTTGGGTACGGAGAAATTACTCTCCCTCAAAATTGGGCTTTCAAAATTGGCGTAATCCATGTTTTTCGGTAAAATTGACATATATTCTCAGACAAAATCATATTCAACGATTCACAGAAAATGGCTTCAAACAAATGCATTTTTACCCGGCGGCATATCTTTGTTCAAAGCGCATCCATCATCAGCTCATGCCAATCTCTTTTACGAATTTTAGAGAAATTCTTGGACCAGTGGGCAAGGAATGTGCTAGGGCTTACAAATATCCTGGAAATTGCCACTCCTCAGTTGCACTGAAAAAAGAATTATGGATTCTATAGCGAATATAATGCTGCAACGCAGTAAGGAATCAGATAGCAAGTAGGATTGTTTGTTATTGACCCAAATTATAATGTAGACGATGCCCAACGTTAGATTATTTTTTTACTTACTGCTCAAATCTGGAACTTTGAAGTAGGTTTTGGACCTGATTAGGTTGATTAGTTGATTAATTGACTGAGCGAGAAGAGGTAAGAATATTTACTTTTTTGTACACTGAGAAGAGGTCAACTACACACCGCATTGTCTTAAACTATATATCATTGCTGGAGGTAAGCGGACCAAAATTGTGGTCAGATGCTGCGCCACATCGTCGATTCTCCTTGCTATTATCGTCAATATCAGGAATGGAAAGGAAGCGATCCTAAGTAATCTCATCCCCATCTAAGAAAATCTTTTCTACACAACAGTCATTAGACTATAAACTACATCATATTTGAAATATCTTCGGAAGCAAGTCGGAGGAACAACGCTTTCCCCCTCCCAAACATCTTCTCTATCCTGTCAGGTACAATGGTTTGTGACTTCCTTACCTGATGGTTTACCTTACTCATACTTCAATAATTATTATGCAAGCTATGAACAGATGTGAGAAAGGAGGGAAAGGGTGCCGGCAGCAGAAGGTCATTGTCAGGGGTTGACTGTATTTGACCAATCCCGAAAATTTTTCCTAAATAAGCAAAGAGTTTGTACTGGCCATAAATCTAAAAGACGATTTACTCGAGGGAAACCCCAACAAATCAATTTAGCCGTTTTATCTCAAAATTCACTTTGAAGATTTGTTTAGCATAAACCTTGTTTGCTTAGGTAGGAATAGGTAAAAAAAATCTTGTTGAACATCGTTTCTATCTGTTACGACAATATGAGAATTTTGGCGAGCTTGCTAAAACTCATATAATCAAGTTATTCTATCTTACGCTTCTATCAGGTTGATGCAAAATTAGTGCATGTTCATAATCTGAGAGAATATATAAAAGCGTATGACTTTTATCATTTGGTAGAGAAAAGCAAGCTCTACAAGATACAAACAATCGCAATTGTTTTAAATAATTGGTAAGTTTTGAATATCCAAAAATGAGTTCTGTCCAAAAAGATTCTGCGAACTCCCAACTTGGTCGGCATATACTATCAGAATGGTCGGAAAGTAATGGGACACCTTGATTTTTTCATTTTGAAAATTTGTGCTTCGATAAACAAAACCAGACAAGTACTCAAGCATCACTTATACAAGTGATCCTCACCTATCATTGGCATCGCACATCGCTTCCGCCCCAGAGTCCTCGCGGTGGCGCTTCGAAAAAGTCGGATCGAGCTTTTGGACAGCACTTGAAGTAATGCTGTCGCAAGTCAATGAGCAAGTCACAAACCGTTCGAAGGAGCTCTTTGAGTTCTTACAGAAGATCATCAACTTTGAAAAAGTTTTTTTTAGGTAAAAAAGGCAAATAACCTGGAAAAGTGCGTTTTTGGAGCCATATAAATCCAAAAACTTGTTTTTGTCTCCAATTTCCGAACATGAAGGAAACTTGAGGTGCCTTGCATATGGACCGATAGAGCACAGAAAGCTGTATGAGACGATGATCAAGAATCAGGAATCATTTTGTAAAGGAATAAGTAACAAATATTTCTCCACTGCGAAATTCTTTTAGTTATATCCCCTCACCCGGCGTGCAGATACCACAAAACTGCTTTGGGTTTAGTGGCAGTCCCCTTCTCTATTGCAACATTGACACTTTGGCTGCCTTTACTTGGTTTACTGTGAGGCTACTCAACGTTCATGTTTGCTGAAAGTGATTGACGTTGCTTTTCCGTAGTTTCAAAATTACTACCTATGCGAATGGGCATAGTTGAATAGGTCGGAATAATATGTTCTAACAACCTTCAAAATCAGAAAGTCTAATAAACACTTTTTCTTGAGAGCACTGCAGTCATGCTCAAAGTGTCCCATTACTTTCCCATCTCCGTTATACTTCATATGCATATTCATATGTACAGCCTAATTTTTACGTGTTTGGAAAAGAAAAAAATCAAAACAGGCGAGGATGTCACCTCATTTAGTTTCTATATCAAATTTGATGTTCCTCGTTAATTAAAACTTGAAGAAATCTGAAAAGTTCTTGTTTGACTTTGAAAACCTTGTAGTATGGAATGATTGTAGCTAGAAAATGCCAAATTATATTTTCTCAGTTTATAGCCATGAACAAAATATAGCAAGCGTGCATTTGCATAGATGCGGTAAGCAATTTTCGTGAGCAAGTTGGAGATTTGCAGGTTCTGAACGAAGATCAGATTCCTTGGCATTTGCAGATTTGTAGGTTTTTCTTCCCAATCTTCTGTATATTAATTCTAACAAGTGAGTCCGTTTAGTCGAAGCGGCACTTCCAAATTCTATATGGCTTTGAAGAGCAATGAAAGATGGTTCCAAGTCTGTCTTCATTATCTGTCAAAGATTCTGAACGCTGAGTTTTAAGCGTTTCTGTGGTTGAAAAATTGGACGAGCAACTCAAATAAAATTCGTCTAGTATTGCTGATATGATCCAGTTGATTATCAGAGCAATTCATTCAATACGTTGCTTTTGTCTAATACACTCGTACTCAAAACCGCTCTATTTCGGCGACATCTACAATTATCTGTTGAACTTAACTTGTCTTTCACAACTAATGTATTACTTCAATAAGACTAATAGATATTCACAGAAGTTTTTGTGTGGTTCGGAATGCGAGAAAAGTAGAGTGGAAGAAATATCATGACTACGCGGAAACTCTCTTTACCTAATATGACATCACTAGAGACGATAAGATGAGGAATGTGCCATCAACACTTGTTCGTATTCAAAACTGTATTTGCAGATATGTACGTGACTTGTTTATAAAGTTTAAATAAGACACATCTCCAAGCTTATCAAATAAAATCTCCGCATTGCATTGCTTTCGTCTCTTTCTTATTTCTTCCTCTATCAGAGGTGCTAATTTGCATAGAAGTACGAATTATCCAAAGCATAACGAGGAGACGCTTTTGACAAAACTTAGGAAAGCAATTTGTTCCCATCATTATTTAGACTTTTGATCTTTTGGTATATCCAATAACACTGTGAAATATGTGATTTCTTATGAAAGGAAAGCCATATTTCCAAGCCATAAGGTTCGTTGTTTGCACAAGTAGCACAAGCGGCACATATAAAGTGTCAAAGAGAAAACGCTGCTGAAAACCAGTTTGTCGATCTCTGCATAATCTCTACAAGATGCATTGCTTTAATTAGGTTTCGTGCATGCTGAAGATTTAAGCCTTGTTTTTAGAACACTATATTCATTTAACTAAAAGTAATTTACAGGACAATGGATTTCATAAAGCAACTGAATAAATTTGAGCCATACAAGAAATTTGAGTCTTCAGCCTTTGATGGCGTTTATAAGTACAGGTTAGTGTCATTTATTATCTTCACTTCTTCTAATTTATCTCAAACAGATTTGCATTTCCTTTCGAACACATTAATGACCCTCGATTTTGGACTGTAGACATATTTCAACGTTACTGGTACCATAGTTTCACTATTTCAATTCTATATATCATGCTTGTCAAAGGTAACTTACATCCCAGTCTAGCATGAAAGTGGAGAAATCGTTCTCTTTCAGCTTTGCAAAAAGCCATGGTGAATAGGAAACCGTTTTCTTTGGAAAAGCCATTGATAGTTTGGAACTGTTCATTAGCAGCTTTCAGTATATTGGGTACACTAAGAACGTCCGAGGTTTGCTTTAAATTTGCAAGATAAACAAGCAGTATAAGCAGTACTTGTTGTGCTAATTGAAAGGACTCCGCATCCATTTATCACCATCACACCTTCAATATGTTCTTTTCTAATAACCATGTTTGCCATTTAGCAAGTAGAACATTGCACCATTCAATCCGAAGCACACTCAGCCCTCCTCCCTCTCCAACCCCCCCCCCCTTTCAAAAAAATTTGCAGTAGTATAATTATCTTTTGTTCGATGCTATGCGCTGAATTCTCATACCATGCCTCCTTTTATTCATTTATTCCCTCTTCAACCTCTATATGCTAAATATTGAAACAGCGTTAGATAGTGATCGAATCTCATTTAGAACTACTGTGTTTCACTTCATTTAGTTAATAGCGTTTTAATACATTTTACGGAACCAAAATGAAGTTCATTTATTTATTTATTGAATGCACATGACGTGCGCCAAAGAAAATAGACAAATAAAATGAAAAGTGTAGGCAGCTATCAACTCCAAAACAAAAATCAGCAAGCATTTTAACATCAACTGCATTGTCACCCTCCTCACTACAGCAACTATTATGCGATGCTAACTCTTTTTATCAGATCATTTGACTCCTAACCACTACTAGTGTTGCCTCTAAATGTTCAGTAGTTGGTATGCAGCTCTCATTCACATGGTAAACAGCCGATAAAGAAGAGCAGATACCGAGGCGAATGGGCTAAACCATGCGTGCCTCAGAGGCATAATTCTTAAGTTAAGGCAAGTCTAACTTGAAATTACGAAAGCGCAAACTTCGAGTAAAACCCAATGGTAATTAGCAATGTTTTCTATGATCACCTCATAATTAAGCAATTGAGTAAGGTGCATCCTGATCTCTTAGTTTTGAGCTAGCTGTAACACTAGTTAAAGTATAAGAATTAGGGTGAGATGAAAAATGACGGAAAAACGCGATTCTTCAGAAGTGTTGAGTTAGTGCAAAAAAAAACTATCTATGAATTATTGTGATCCGCATTGGTTTTCCGCAGTATAAGTTTTATCAACGATCTCAGCTTAATGTTTCATGCCTATCTCTGTTTGTCTACGCAAGATTCCGTTGTTACAAAAGTGAGTTTAGAGAAATGACATATTTCAAATACTTCCAAATGTGACTTACAATTAGATAGTTGTCATTTTGAGTATCAAACTTCAGTATATTCTCCCAAACTGGGGTTTATTGATGTTTTTTTACTAACATTTTTTAGTTTCTAACACCTCAAGAAAGGAAATAAAAGGAAATAGCCTGGTAGTTATGGCAACATTATCACTTAGCACTACCCTTAAACTAGCTTCATGTAAAATTTCTTTCCTTGCTGTTAACTCGTTGAGTGTAGGCAGCGAGTAGACATCTGAAGAAAATTCGACATTGAATTTCTTTGAAATGGGAGCCACATTGTGCTATTAGCAGATCATATATCGCTCATCACATCCTTAGTCCGTCACAGCTCAGTGTTAGGGTTGCTGAGGGAAACCGATTTTATCCGCAGAAGCGCGTATGATTTCGCTTATTTGCCCTGGTGCTTATACCTTCTCGTGCTCGAAAGTGATTGTATTTTGTATTTTGTTACGCATTGTGCTTTTACTTGTACCACTGCTAGTAATTCTGCCTCACGTGACTCGATTCTCTTGATAGCACTCACGAACACCTACTCACGTCATCGTTTGATAATATTTGGAAAACGATTTTGTGATCCAAAAGTAATGGGACATCTAGGAACAAATGCAGTTTTCTCAAACACAAAACCTAGTTGGAAACCTAAGTTTTATCGGATGTTAGTACATGATAAAACCTTCTGACAAGGTGTATATAGATGGGCACTGTCACATGGCGTTATGTTTATAAGCGCTCAAAACCAAAGCTCATCACTTTGATAGATTTTGACTTTGAGCAGCACCGACGTAAAAATGAGCATACGAAAAATTTCTGCGCAGCAGTGGATGAGGGAAATGTTACCAAATCCACGAAAGCCTCGTAGTCCCAACGCTCTAGATAGAAGATATATTGAAAGACATATTAGTTCTCTAATCATGTTAATCAAATGAGCTAACCCTTGACAGTTGTTATCTATACACTTTATCCATATGTATGCAATTTACCTCGATTTTTTTCTTTGAAAAAATTTGGGCCAAAAAATGATTTTTAGCCTGAAAAGCGCCAAACGTCGCACATTTTTGGATAAAATGCCTCTTTCAAATGAAACAATGGGGACTTTTCGTACCTTCAAGTAATCATTAGAAAGAACTCGGAAAACTCTTTCGAAATGATTATGTCTCATGTCTAAGTACTTTGTAGTACAGCAGCTCAAATTCGGATGGCGTTCAAAAAAGTCTGTCGACCTCTTTAAAGCGCCAATCGAAGGATTGTGGGTAAGGTGCTGCAAGGTGCTGTAAGGATAACCTGCGACGGTTATTTTATAGAGAGGCGTTTAAGTCCCTGGTCGTTCATAGTTGATTAGAAAGAGACTGTTAAACGTCAAAAAATTAAGATGCCTTATCATTTTTGGATTACCCTAATACATTTCAATATTTGAAGATGACATAAATTTCGATAGTCGGTACACACATACTTGCAAATTGTACGCTGTAGTCTACAACAATTAGCCTTAGGCTTTGGCCATACTTTGCCCGTGTTGCCGATGTTTCCAGTGTTGCCAGTGTTGAAAGTGTTGCCGGTGTTGAAAGTGTTGAAAGTGTTACCAGTGTTGAAAGTGTTGCCGGTGTTGAAAGTGTTGAATAGAGATCATCAGTCTAGCAGTTTCATTCTTTCTCGAACGATCTCACCGGCTGGTGGATACGTTGGAAATGGAACTGGGGAATGAGAAATGAAATTGAAATGAGGTGGGGAATGTTTTCGCATGCAAAAGATCCTCAAACAAACTTTTTGGAAAGTGGACGGCTTGCCTGGAATAGGCAGTCTCCAATATTTGAGAAAGCTAAAGTCTGAGTAGTAATGTGTTTTGGTTCAATCCTGCCGCACTTGCGATTAGTGAGTAAAGGACCTAAGTGAGGTCTGCAGCGTTTTCAAATATTGGAGATTGCCTATTCCAGACAAGCCGTCCACTTTCCAAAAAGTTTGTTTGAGGATCTTTTGCATGCGAAAACATTCCCCATCTCATTTCAGTTTCATTTCTCATTCCCCAATTCCATTTCCAACGTATTCACCAGCCGGTGAGATCGTTCGAGAAAGAATGAAACTGCTAGACTGATGATCTCCATTCAACACTTTCAACAGCGGCAACACTTTCAAGACTTTCAACACCGGTAACACTTTCAACACTTTCAACACCGGCAACACTTTCAACACTGGCAACACTGGAAACATCGGCAACACGGGCAAAGTATGGCCAAAGCCTTACAAGCACCGTCCACCCAAATGAGAATGATAAACTTATGATATAGCGGGGCGCGGGGCGGGGCAATAGCGGGGCGCTTTACTAACAAGAAGTAGTCGCTTGAGTACCGACAAAAGGTGAAGTTTGAAGCGAGGAAAGTGCTTCATAAGTAGAAACGCCAACGTATCTATACCATCAACAAGGGTGGTCTAAAGATAACCGGTCCAAAATTGGGCTTCAATGTATCCAAAATGTCGACAGTCTGATAATCGTATAAAGGGCACATTTTCGACAATTTCGTATACTGAATCTCGCTTTTGGAACATGTCAGATTTGGGCTATTTTGGTTAGGCGCCACGCTATTGTATCACATAATCTCACCGACCTTGACTTGGGTGGACGGTGCCCTTGCTCACGATTAAACAATAAATCCAGTAGGACTAGATGCAATCACTCTTCTGCAAAAAGTTTCTTTCTTCTAAAGTTGCCAATCTTGATAAAAGGCTTACAAGGGAATGGTCAGAAGTCGAAATGGTCAAACCAAACAAGCTGTATATCATTCGATGCAGTATAAAACGCTGTTTTCAAATCTGTCTTCCTTATCTGCTTCCCGCTTCTGTGGAGCTACAAGCGGTTTTATTGTGAAGAAATCATACATAATAACAGCGAAGTTGAGCACATTGTTGCACTTTTAGCTCGGCTTCTGGCTTCAAAAATTTTAAGTAAGCTAGCTGCATGTTTTGGCCCAGCATTGAGGCGAACGAGGCTCTGTACGGCTAAATTTTCAATTTCACGCAAAATTATTTAAGCAAAACAATGGTCTTTAATGGCTTATAACTTCGTCCAGAAAAGCGATAAGCAGATAGAGAAGACAGATTTAGAGTCAGCGCTTCATGCTGCATCTAAGGCTACGCAGCTTGTCTGGAATGGCCACTTCGATTTCTGACCATTTCCTTGTTAGGAATGAGCAGTTACTTACAATGATTTGGATCATCAGCATTGCGCGATAAGTTGCAAATCATCATTGGAGAAGAGGAAGGGCATATGGATAGTGAAACAAGTGCGAGCCTCTGCGGAGCAACTGTATCGTATGAACTACTGCAAGGCACCATGAATCTCGAAAGTAATCATATCGATTACAAGCAAAAAATGCTGCTTCTGCACCAATTGATGATCATAACTATGGCAAGTTTTGAAAAGTGTACCATAATGATCAGTCACAAGAACGTACTATAGACTAGCTGTAACTGCCCTTCATCATTGATTTAGGATATTTTCTCTGGCATTTACAAACATGGAATTTTGAAAAACCTGTGCATAACATCCGATTCACACAGCGTGGCTGGTTTTTGGATTCTTTTATTCACATTATCAAAGGTATCAAATTGTTTATATCAACAATCAGCATTTACATCTTTCCTTTTCAGATTGTTGAGCTCGGTGACACAGTTTTCATTGTATTACGCAAAAGACGCTTGATCTTCTTACATTGCTATCACCATGCTGCGGTTCTCGTCTACTCGCTACATACAAGTAATAGATATAGCAGTGGACATAGGGTACCCGAGAGATGAATAACTCTATTTGCAGTTGCTGAACACGGTACACCAGGACGATGTTTCGTTTTTATGAACTTCTTTTCTCATTCGTTAATGTATTCGTATTATGCCGCAAAAGCGTACGGATGTCAACCACCGCGATGGGTAGGTTCAAAAGGTTTTTATGATGTAACTTCAATTTTCTATTGTGCCAAACAGGTTTGATAAGTGGTCTTTATTTCTTTCCAATCACGGCCTTACGTTTCGACGCCTTTCGTCTTCCTCAGAGGCCTGAATGGTTCTAAGTGTTATCCGTAACTCCAGACCACCAAGCGTCTCCTCCCGCTCTGCTAGTTCTCGGCCTTCTCACAATCTCGCTACCAAATAAAATGTCAGTGTAGCAGGACATACCGGAAGACCACCGCTACTCGAGTAGTCTGCACCGGAAATAGGCGGTCGCGGCAGACGAGTGAATCGTACTGTAGATACCAAAAGATGATCTACAGTCACAGATCACATAATGATACGAACGGGAGGAAGTCAGAAGTTATTGATAAACACTCGTTCTTATTATTCATCTCTGGATTCTTTGTAGTGATCCAGAATGCTTCTAGTGCTTTCCTAGCCGAGATCTCCGTTTCATACGCAAGAATTCTACACTTGATGTTAAAGTCTTCTCCACCGTGCCGTGCGTCCCTATGCCTGCCAAGCGGCGAGCTCAGATTTTTGCGCCTTTTATCGGCTAGATGTTCTTTTATGCGAATACCCAAAACTCTGCCCGTCTCTCCTACATATAACGCTTTGCAGTTGAGGCACTCAATTTGATAAACGACTCCCACTTTTGCACAATCCCCCACTCTACCGTGCGGGCATATTACGCATTGCTCTGTCGTACAATATCGGTCGTAGAGCCTATTTCGGACTAGCTGCTTTTTGATGTTGTTGTTGGGGATGTTGACTAGAACAACATCATTTTGTAGCTGAGCTCGAAAAATGCACTGTTGAAACGCCGCGGCAATCTTGTCAGAGATGAAGGGAAGGCAGAGTGGGAGTTTACTGTTACTATGAATGCTGTTACCATTTCTAGATAGTCGAGGACACGGAGTACTCTGCGTTGATACCACTGCTT